TGTTCCAACAAAAGAAAATGTAAAGTCAGACACAAAAAGCCAAGCAAGAAAATTTTATTTTAAGTGAAGTAAGTTTCAAGCAACAACAAAAACATTCACAAGAGAGAGTGAATTGTATCCAAGTGGAGGAAAAATAATACCTCTTCCAAATTTATTACTGTTTTGATGTTTGCCAGGAAAATGGGGGTCCACCTTCTGCAATCATCACCATCCTGACACTTAACTCCCCCTTCACATTGAGCAAGATTGTTCTTGTCCTTTTAGTAACTGTTATGATGACCATCCCATTCAGGGGGACTTCATCCACAAGTCCAACCTAAGTTAACGTGAGTGCTGGGGTTGACCACCAGGCAAACTTTATCTTAGTGCTCCTAATGAAATTTCCCTTCAGGTATACATTAAGAAACTCATATCTATAAATCCTTCCTTTACAATGATCCCAGTACAATTATCCCCACAAACCTTTTCTTCTTGACACATTTTTAATTGACCTTGTTTCCACCTGTTTATTTCCAGGGTTAGTACACCTGTTGTTTTTCTACAATTTACTTGATTATTAATTGGTCTTAAAGAGAATTAAAAAAAAAAACATGACCCTACTATGTTACTGGTTTTTATTCCATTATTCATTACTAAATACTACCTAAAAACATAAGTCACATATAAAATGGTAAAATGGTACTAAAATGGTTACTATACTGAAGCCAATTCTAAGTCTTCAATCCCAATATGATCCAAGACCATGTCCCCCTGGCTATGGAAGGAAATCAAACATGTAGGACAGAAGATCCCTGAATATTTGTAATCCCCTGTTCATTGTGTTCACTAAGTATTCACTTTAGTAGATGTCTTCAGAGGCTTTTCATGGCATTCTGGAGTCCAGAATCTTAATTTTGTCCATGTATCTTAATTTTGCCAAAGACAAAAGAGCCAAAGTGGTTGATTCTGAGTAGAAGTGTTAATGAGGTGGAGATCAATTCTGTATGCCTTATTTGTTACCTGTGAAACAGACTGAAATTAAGGGCCCCTCTAAAATTGAGGGTCACTTCCTCATATTGAAAGTGAAGGCTAAATGGGCTGACTCCTGGCCTGGGGGACAGGAGGGAAGCTAAGAACAGAGATTTCTCCCTGTTCTATCCTGCCCAATACAGGCTAACTAAATCTGCATATGTACACTTCCTACCTTTCATCTCATTTTGCCACCTCTTCTCTTTCAAAAGCTTTCCTCCCCCCCACCAGAAACTCCCCCAAAATAGAAAATTGAAACAACAACAATAAAAATGTTTCTTCTATTTTCCTTCAAAGACAGCTTTGAATAAACCCTGTTTTCCTACCAATTTGACTACAAATATTTGTGGATGAATGCAATGGAGCCTCGCCTCTTCTCCCATGGTACAGTCGTATGTCAGGTAACACCTGGACATGTGAAATATAAGAGTCTGTGATGATTGATTAACTATTGGCTCTGTGCTCCAGAGCCCATTTCTCTATGTTGTGTGATACTTAGGATTGAGTTCTGAAAACTTTATTTTTTGCCATTTGATCTGGCATAAACTTCTTCTAATAGGAATAACCAGTGAAGTTCTGAGGACAAAAGTAGTTCACTCCTAAAGGTGAACCTTAGGTCATTACTGATATTTATCATTTCCACCTTCTACCACTAATTTAAACTCCCTTAACCATGCCAGCACTCCTGTTTATCTAAGTTTTCATCTTGTTTTATTATTTTTTTAATCCAAAGGACCTGAACCACTATTATTTTTCCCTTATTAGTCTATGGATGCTAATTTTGTCATTCTTTCTTTAAACCTCACACCAGAACTTCAAGTGATTCAACACTGGATCCCCTGAGTTTCAAATATACTGCTGTGATCCCTACTATGCAGCAGTAATTCTATCACCTCTGATGATTAAGGTCAGTTATCATTAGGGTAACTCTTTGTCTGCTGATACATCATATGAATAGTTAAAAGTGACTAGATAACATCTATAGTTTTGGGGTTAGTGAAAATCATGTTGTATCTGCTAGTGGAAACATTACCCTTCTTAGATAAAACCTCTGCTTTCATTGAACTTAAAGTTGCAAGGCAAGAGGAATAAAGCACTCAAGAGAAAATAAGTAATGATGTCATAGGCCACTTGTACTTTCATACCTTCTTATATTCTCAACTATGTAGCAGGAACAAAGTAATAATATCTATTGATAACACCAGTGACTACATAGAAAGGTGAGTGCCTTGCTGTGAAGTGTTATAATACACATCAGACCTTCCCTGAGTCATCAGAAATTGGTGCTGACACAAACCCTGTAGGAAGAAAAAAAAGCTAAGCTTGTTCTCTCTGCTTTCAGGTCATATACTTGGGAGTACCTAGATTAACCTTGCTGGGATATAGCTTATGCAAATGGACCCACATATAGCTTCTTTCTTTGTCCCCACAGATACTCCATTTGTCACTAAAAGTTGAAGCACTTGGCAGTTGAAGGACAACAGCTGACCAAGACCCAACTTTCCTGTTGTCTTTCCTGGGAAACGACATGGAATTTTTATCCTTACAGATAATACTAGTACTGTGGAATCTCCTAGATTTTATCACTCTAAGCAACATGGTCACTTGTGTAGAATCTGGACTGCCTAAAAATCCCTCTTTTATTCTGGGCTCTACTCACTGCTGTTGGTCTTCTAAGCATCCAATAAATGGGCCAAAAAAGTACTCCTAAATATAACTTATGCTGTCTCCAGAACTCAAAAAATGTCTCTAAGTTATAGAAGGTGCCAGATTTGATGACTTGGTTTTTTTCATTAAATAGTATGCATAACATTCTCCAGATGACTCTACACCTTGAAACACTTTATCAGTTAGAAGAGAGTTTATCCCTCTGCCTGTGGAGTACATATTTCTTATGAAAGCCTGCACCCTTCCAGCTCAATAGGTCCAGTAATGGTTAGTAAACCAGTAATGTTTTTTACTCAATTTTCAGACGATCAATAGCCAATTGGATTGTTCAGTGACAGATTCAGAGAATTAATATGGCCTTGATACAAGACTGTGAATGTGGACTGTTGTTAATCTCAAGTAAGTACAAAGTACTTCTGATTCTTCTTACTAATGAGTGCTGAAAATAATGCATTCACCAAATCACTCATGACAACTACCAAGTATACACAACTCAATTGTATGGTCAGAAACCTAGAAATGGCTAGTGGTGTCCTGTGGAAATTGTGAACCCACTGTGAGGTGGACTTAGAAAAGTGATATTTTTATCACCTGACCTTAATGCAGCAACACCTACTCTCCAGTCTAACAGAGGACCATAAAAAGAGTCTTGGTTAAAGCTTTGTAACCAAAGCTTCTAAAAGACCTGAATATTTGTCTTTCTAAAGTGTGCAATCATTCAGATAAACAGACAAAGCTCTCTTTTGGACAAAAGCTAGGAAAAATTTTGTTACTATATATTCTTTCTGTGGCACTGCAGGTCTTCCTTCACAAGTACCCTGCATCTCCATCAATTGACAACCTCTGAGAACTGGCTCAGGACTGGAAACTTAAGTGAGGGAGGAATTGTGATTTTTTTCCATTGAATCAGTTAATATCAACTTTTAGCTCATCCACTCCTGATACCGAGCAAGCAGCCAATATTCATACTGGTTTGAATAGAACTTTTCCCATGATCAGTTTGTCATTAGCGTTAACCATTAAGTCAAAATTCCCTGATTGTCATTCCAACTTTGCTGCCTGCTACAATAATTTCATCCATTTTTGTCTGACAGATATTCTACTAATCACATCTCTAAGGGAATACAGTGTTTCTCTCCACCAACAATCAGCTCATACCTGTGGGCCAGCATCATCATATTATCAGAATAACATATGGCTGAAAAGTGTAGAAGAATTATGATAGTTTAAGGATATGGGGGAGTACATGTATGTGCACACAGGTACAAGTGTCTGTGTAAGAGAGAAAAGTGAAAGACTGTAATGACTTCTGATACCAACTACATGAAATTAGACCAAATTTCACAGGTTATGAGCATAGTCCTCCAAAAGACTGTCCTTATTCCAGGTATAATCTGTAGGTTTCAGGATCAGAGATGATCATCCTCACCCATGGACATCTGGCTACAAATTTGGAGGTCTCTAGCACACCCACAAGTGACTCACAGGACTGAGGAAAGTGATATGCTTATGATTACAGTTTTATCACAGAAAAGAATACACAAAGGGGAGATACATCAAGCAAGCTCTGTGAGGGTCCCAAACACAAACTTTCTGTCTTGTTAAGGTACATTACTCTTCTGGCACACTGGTGTTCAAAACTATGAACAATACTGCCATCCAAGAAGCATACCTGAACTTTAGTGTCAAGTTTCTACTTAGGCTTTCTTACATAGGCATAGTTGATTGAATTATTGACCAAGTAGCTAAACTCAATCTCTAGCCTCCCTCCTCCACTCGTGAAGGTCAGGATACTATCACCATGATTCAAAGCCCCAAATCTCCAATGACATGGATAATCATTCGAGCATGGTCAGCCCCCATCCTAAGCTATCCTGGGGCCAACCACAAATCATGACATGAGGATAAACAAGTATGATCCAGGTGGTTCATGAATAACCAAGACACTTCTGCCACTTGGAAATTCCTAGGGTTTTAAAAGCTCTATACTAGGAATCAGAGACAAAGACCAGACAAGTTCTTTATTATACATCAGGTTCCTACTCTCATCTTTCCCTTTTCATCCTACTCTTTTAGTTCTCCATTGGTCTTAATTACCCTGATAATGGGTACTTATGGGTTTGTTTATTATATTCCCCCACCACATTAAAAGGTAACTTTTATGAGATTGTGGAATTTGGTTTGTTCACTCCTATGTTTGTTGAACTCCATGATATAATGCATGCACAAAATTCCTGAGAGAAAAATAGGAAAACAAATAATTATTTATTATAGTTAAGTAATGAAAATCTTAATGTAAAACAGATATAAGTCTTTTTAGTCCCCTAGGTGCTAATAGCGTCTTTAAAGAGCTTCCTCCCAAAGATTTTCTTCAGAGCCAACATCACTTCTTTATTCCTAAGGGTGTATATCAGTGGATTCAGCACTGGGGTGACTGCACTGTATATGACAGCCACTGTCTGGTCCTCACTCATGGACGTGGCTGAAGCAGGAAGAATATATGTAAAACCTACAGGTCCATAAAAGAGACACACCACCAAAAAATGGGAGGCACAAGTGGACAGAGCCTTATGGAGTATCCTGCAGGACCTGTTCTTCAACACAAGGAAGCCAATGATGTAGGAGAGGAGTGTGAGAAAGAAAGCTCCTGTAGATATGCTCCCTGTGACAACAGAAAGAAGCCACTGGTTGAGTTCTGTGTTACTGCAGGCCAGTTTCAGGAGGGGTTTCACATCACAGTAGAAGTGGTTGAGTTTCAGAGAATGGCAAAAGTCCAGGCTTGCAGTCATGACAGAATGCATCAGAGCATAGAAGAAGCTAATGAGCCACGCCACAGCTGCCAACAGAACACCAGCTGGGGGTTCATGATGACAGTGTAGAGAAATGGGTTGCAGATGGCCACAACATGGTCAAAGGCCAACACTGCTGGAAAGATGGCCTCAGTACTTCCCAGAAAGTGGAAGAAGTGTAGCTGAGCCAAGGAAAGATATGACCCTTCGAGTGGAGAGCAGGTTCATAAGCACCTTGGGCAGTGTCACCAAAGAATAACAAATATCCAGACAAGAAAGGTTTCCCAAAAAGAAATACATAGGGGAGTGGAGTTTGGGTTCCAAAATTACAATCATTATTATCGCTCCATTTCAACCAAGTTGATCAGGTAAATAATTATGAAGCTCCCAAAGACTGGCTGCAGCTCCTGAATACTGGTCAGGCTGAGTAAAAGAAATTCATCCACTGTAGGGACATTCTCTATCCCTCTGGGGAGCAAATAAAAAATTAATTAGTTATTTTTTTCTAATACTTACTTTTAAGCTATGGGGCTTAAGTTAAGCCAGTTTACTATTTGGATTAATCTAGGGGTGAACTACAGTATCAGTAATGTTTAAGAATAGCAAAGAGATGGGGATATAGCTCAGTGATAGAGCACTTATCTAGCATGCTAGAAATCCTGGGTTCTATCCCCAGCACCCAAAAATAAATAGTAAAGCTGGTTTATGAACAACAAAATTAAGGAAGGTCAACATACCTAGTACATCAATAAAATGACATTAGACTAATAAAAGCATCATATTATGAATAGATCAGATATGAATAAAAGGAACTTTTTAATGTATGTGGGACCTGACCACAACCTCATGTCTTGCATTAGAATTAGAGTTAGATAAGTTTTAAACATAAAAAGGAAATAGCTATTCAATTTGTGATTGCAGGTTCTAGCAGTAATATAGATGTAATTTAGTAGGATTTTTTCCACTTCTAAGGTGCAAAAATTTCACAAGAGATAGACACATCCTTCCTGACAACCAAAACCTTCAGTGAAAATAAGAGACATAAAAGCCCACAAAATTCAAGTTATTGTGTAAATAAAAGGGGTAAAAAAAAACAGCAGAATTTGCATCATTAGCTATGGGGTGTCAGTCTGAATGATTCGCATCCTCCTTCCCTAAGCAGAGAGGTTCTGACTGTCATTACATCTCGTAGTGACCTGGACATTGCCTGGGTCCTGGAGGTTGAGGACACCTATTCAGACATAGGCATGTCACCTTATGGATTGAGCTATGCTCATCTATTCCTTTGTATATTTCCTCTTTGCCCTGTTTGGGATAGAATGTTCCATGGAAACACCCTTTGTGTGTCCCTTTCTTTTTCTCTGACTTTGGGTGTGGCCTTCCTAGATGTCAGTCAACCTGGCAGATTCAGCCCCCTGAAACCTGACTTCTTGCCTCATTTGAGTGATTTCTCCTCAATAAAAGTGTTCAGCGGGTGCTCCTTGCTCTCTCTCTTTCCACAGACCTCTAAGGTCAGAGGAGCTATCACAAGACCAAAAGCAAAAGGTATTTCTCTGTGTCTGTGTGATTATTTCATGCCAGCCCAGTTCACCTGGAGTGATCTTGAGTGTTTAGTCATGGGAATCGACAATCTAGAGCTTGATGAAGAATTCTTAAACTTTAAGCCCAAGGCATGACCCATAAAGAGGAAATTTTAAACAATTACCTCACCACACGCACACTCCAAAAATATTGCTCTGAAAAACACTGCACTAAAAGAATGGAAAGAGACAAGTTGCAGACTGGGAGAAAATATTTCCAAACCACATATTCCATAGAGCTCTAAAAACTCAACAGTATAAAACCAAAAAGTCCAATAAAAAATCATCAAAACACATAAATAGATATGAACAGAAAATGACATGCAGATAGCAAACTACCACATGAAAAGATGTTCATTTTTTCATTAGCACAGTGCAAATTAAAATAATGGAAAGATATCACAACACATCTATCAAAATGGCTAGAATAAAAATAGTGATGACACCAAATACTAGTAAGGATGCAGGGAAACTGGATCACAAATTTAACATTAGCCAAGATGTACATGCTTAGCCATATTGAAAAGTATGTCACTTTCTTCCTAAATTAAAAATGAACCTATCATATGACCCAACAATTATACATCTGGGTATTCTTCCCAGAAAAAAAACTGTGTTTATAGAATTATTATCCATAATATTTAAAGTTTGAAATAGCCCAAATGTTATAACATTTCTATTTGAACCACTTTAATATCTTCTAATTGCATTTGCTTACAAACCCTCCAGGATCCATCTGTGGCTTAGCTCTGCAGTCTATGCTTTGCTATTCCTCAGGTCTGATCATCCTTGGTAGTTTTCAGTTCCACAAATGTGCCAAAGTGTTCTCCAACAGGGATTTCACTCATGCTTGCCCCTTTCCTTGAACATCCTTTACCTCCCCTCTTCCTTAAGATTCAATAGTATGGTAATCATTGCATCCTACCTTAGCCACGTTCTCCTAACTGTAACACTAGATTTTGTCTTTATTAATAATTTCAACCCTCCATCATCTCAATACCAATACCAATGCTATTTCAAATTTATTAGTGTTTGAAATTTACCAAGATATCTAGGCACCACCTTCTGTACTCTTTGCCAATCAGGTGTTCGACTCCTCCTTCACATCAGATGGTGGAGTTTTTTACCTTAGTTGATCCTCTCCAGAACTGTCATGATGGTCATCCTATCAGGGAGGCTTCATCTGCAATGTTAATGTGGGTACTGGGATCAATAGCTGGTCAGAATTTACCTTAGTGTGCCTGCACTGTGAAAGGAATCTTCCTTCCCAGACAAATGGAGCGACCTATACCTTTAAATTCTAGCTTTACCTCAACATCAATGAACAGTGCCAAGAGTTAGTCCCATTAATCTTTTTCTTTTGACATGTTTTCCCATTAGCTCCTTTGTTTCTTTTATTTTATAGAAATTAACTACCACCCTTTGCTTTCTCAGCCATTTTGAAAGTTGTTTAAAGAAGACCCTAGCCAGGTGCTCCCAGCAGCTCTGGGGGCTGAGACAGTGGAATTGTGAGTTCAAAGCCAGCTTCAGCAACAGCAAGGCTCTAAGCAACTCAGTGAGACCCTGTCTCTAAATAAAATAAAAAATAGGTCTGGAGATGTGGCTCAGTGGTTGAGTACCCCTAAGTTCAAACCCCAGTACCCTCCCTGCCCAAAAAAAGACCCTAAAGTAATTTAAAGAACATTTGTGACCTAGCCATGCATTTCACTGCCCATTGCTAGCTACTGCCTACCAATGGGTTAGGCTCTCATAACCCAATCATTTCACTTCCGAATGTTCTTGCATTGTCGCATACATAAAGTTTTGGGGGAATACCTCACATCCAAACCATAACAATCTTCCCTTGATCCCCAAAAGCTCATGACTATTCCAAAACACAAATACATTTTATACATTTTCAAGAGTCCCTTCAATTCTTACTCATATCAATTCCTATACTTCTCTCTCGCATCCCGCGTGGGCTATGAATTTTGGGTTTCCCTTGTGTGAAATGTGCTGGCTGAGAAATATAGTGAAAAATCACATGACACAGAAATAATTTTGAAATGCAGGGGGAGAATGGCTCTGATATCTTAAGGTTCCTGCTTCAACACTGGAAGGAAAGAGAGGAGAGAGAGAGAGAGAGAGAGAGAGAGAGAGAGAGAGAGAACCTGCATTTTCAATATTTATATAAAGAGAGCTTCAAAATAATTTTGATGGACTATTCTTTTGACAAATAAGGTAGAAAGTGGGCTATCTAAGCCTAATGGGTAACATCCAAGTCCAGAGCTATGAGAGCTGCTCCATTGATACAGTGAGAGCAGAGATCTCACACCTTGGGCCATCTACACACAAGAATGCCCAGGATCATTTCCCAAGGGGAGATCTATGTCCCCATTATTCAGTATAGTGTAAAAGACCACTCAAGTAGCTTCATGGGTGGCATACCACAAGTCCCCATAGTCTCAACAGTTGCATATTGCCCAAAAGTTCAAGTCCAAAGTCTCCTCTGAGACTCAGGACAAGCTTACATTGTAAGCACCTGTAAAAATCAAAAATAATTTATAAGTATCCAATATATAAAGGTACAGAGTAAACTATTTCATTCACAAATAGGGGCATAGAAAAAAAGGATAGGACCAAAGCAATACTAAAATTCAACTGGCAAACAAATCTTATAGCTTGACATTTGGGATCTGGGGCACATGGCATGGGGACATTCTGTCTCATTTTAACTATTTCCTTCTTCTACTGATTTTGGTGTTGGTTTGTTCTTCTTTTTCTAAGGCCTTAAGCTGTCATGTTATTTTATTTATTTGATATCTGTCCATTATTTTAATGTATGAGATCAATTCTCACTTGCATCCTGCACAGGCAGTGAAATGGGCTGGCTGAGAAATAAAAGCTAAGAAAAATAGAACAAAGGAAAAAAATACACAGGATACAGAAAATAGTTTCAAAAGTAGAGGCAAGCCAATCAGACGGATCGAATTTCTATATGGCAAAATGGAGCCCATGCCTGATATATATATATA